TATCTACAATAGCGTGTCTCTTATTAGAGAAAGGGTTTCCTCTCGATTTCTGACCTCGAGATGGCATTAAGCTGAATTCCACGTTCGCCCGAATACATTCCACGGCCCATCCCGAAAAGCGAAACTCGCTTTTGGTCGGTACGTGAGACAGACGGAAGCAATTTCGAGTTTACGCCTCGACAAGCCCCTAGTGCGTATTGCGTAAGACGCACATCTCATTTTGCAGCAGTCAAATGTTTCCTCGCGAGAATGTGCATTTCTCTCTCTCTCTCTCTCTCTCTCTCTCTCTCTCTCTCTCTCCAATTGAGAAAAATGGACATTAACAAGACAGTAACAACCTGCGCATTTATGAGGAAAACTTTCTAACATCTATTAACTTTTAATCTCTCAGTCACTAGTTTCTTCGAGCGCGCTTGAACACAAAAAAAGAAGAAATTTCAGTTTTAAAGCGGAATATATGAAGAGATTGGCGAAGAGACGGCTATTACACCTGTGAGACGTCCGTATTGCTGGCGTTTATACCCGCAAGTACCGTAACGTTACGCGCCCGAGGCATGAAAGCGACAATAAAGGCGGATTTGATTAGACTGTCGACGTTCTCCTATATCGCCCTCTCATTTCCTTTTCTGCGTTGTCTCGTAGCCGGAGATGCACCGTCGCTGCCATCGCTCTCTGTATTCGTTTAATTGGAAATTCAGCGGGGCGGCAAAATGAAGCTTTACGTATAATACAGGGCTTACGTCATGGAGTGTTGAACGAAAAATGACGTGCATAAACGTCTAACGTTACGTCTGACATGTCCATTTTTTCAATTCTAAATCATTTCTCAATTGTATGTTATATTAAAATGTATAAAAACACAAAAACGAAAAAAAATTGAAAATAATGAGCCAAACACAATTATGATTTCCTTAAATGTCGTCTATAAAAGAAGCTTTTTTTTTAAACACTATAACATTTTTTATTTTTATCGATAAGAGAAACAATTCAAAGCTCCGCGATGATTTTTTTGTCTACAGATTATTTTAGGGAAATTTTTTTTACTTTTTCGACAGTAAATCGAAAACTGTGTGCTCTTCTGTCCCCTTCGCGGAATATTAGTTTCTCGTGGCGCAGGTAACCAGTGACCGAAAAATTGCAGTTGCAGTTTACACGGCGTAAATATTTGCGATTATAGGGCGCCGTCTTCCTAGTGAAGCTCGTTTAATTGAAAAACTGCAGGGGTGGATTTCGGGGCGAGAGTGAAATTTACGCCACGCGCCCATCCTAATATGTATTACGCTGGGATCGACCCCGGGAGAACGGAGAACGTCGTTTTCTTTTACTTTATGAAAGCAAAATAAATTTTACAAAGACGAGCGTGGAAAAAAAACGTGGCCGGGCATTTCCAAGTCAATAAAAGCTTTTTACATCCCAACGCTGTATCGATAAATTATTTCCGCACGAATCAGGAAGAGAAGAGACTCGCTTCTTCTCCGCGTTATAAAAAAAAAAGAAATTTCTCACAGCGCCATGGGAGAAGCGCGCAGGAAGGATCTCAAATCTAATGACATTTTTTCATATCCCTCTTGGTATATGAAACATTCATTTCTTTCATTTCTCTTCGGATATTGCAGATGCAGCGTACCTTCAATCTTTGTATCTGTTTAATTAATGAAGATACATCTACTCACAAACCTCTATTAATTCTCCATCAGAATATATAACGGAATTCCCTGTACGTAATTAAGAGACGAGAGTAAAAAATGTAATAATATCAAATAACGAAAAATCAAAGCATGAAATTTTTCAACCCTCTTATCGTCGATCTCAATTTGCTGTTGGCGCACATAAATTACTATCGATACAGCAGAACCAAATGCGTTAATCTCTTCTCGGGATAGCGACTTTCGATCCACGCCCTGTACATCGGCGGCGATTTTTCGTCATCACGCGCGGAATAGGGCGGGCATGTCGCGAGCATCGCCTGCATCGCTGACGCGTTCGTCAGCCGTCGAAAGCTTCGTTTTCGGGTAAAGCTCGTGCAGGGTGAGGTTAATGGGCTTCACCCGAAAATTGATGGCCGCCGTGCATGCTCGTGTGAAATACGCGCATCGCGCCGATCTTTTTCCCTCGCGCGGGCGCGCGCGCGCTCGTCTTTGCCTTTCACGGGCGCGGGAGGGGCGCGCGGCCTTTTTATTTCACTCCTCTTACAATCGCCAGGCGCCGATTTTTCCTGAGAACATTCGCGGGATGCCCGCGGTCTTCCATCTTCACCGCGGCCGCCCCTCTCCGCCTCCGCGAGCTTTCAGCAGCGACGTCAACATTCATCGGGTTTTTTCACGAGCCACCGGAATGCACCGGAAGAAAAATGGGGGGAGGGCCCATCTTCAAGCGGATGAGGAGCATTACAAGCATACGCTTTGTAAACCTATCGATCTGCTCTCGCTGATACGGGCAATTTAATCTTCTTACGTGCGTCTAAGCGTTTCGAAAGCCTTACGTTTTCGAATTTGGGTATACATGCATGGTAATACTAGGGCGGCTCGCTTCGTCCACTTGCGACGATTCATGGACGTATAGGCATGCGGATTACAATGAGTGATCGACGACTGTATGACTGTGATTGGTAGTACTGTTCCATGTGCGCCAGACGCGCTTCGATGCAGGTCGGCGACTATGGTAAACGCGTATCAAAGGGCTAAACGTATAAATCACCGTAAGCCACGCTTTAGCAGTCAATAAATCACATTTACTACATCGCCGAATTTCTCTGTTGTGTGTGCAGATTCGCGACAACCTGGCCGCGGAGGGTATGGAGCCGCTGGAGGAGGAGATCCCGCAGGAGGATATAATCGGTCGCGATTACTGCCGTTACACCATAAAGCGCCTGATGGCGCCTTAAGCTGCCGGAATCCTCTCGGCGAAGCGCCGAGCGAAACGTAACTCGCAAACGAGTCGAGTGATCGAAACGGAAACAGAGAGATAAGAGACGGAAAGAGGGAGAGAAGGGGAGAGACGGAGAGAGAGAGAGAAAGAGAAATAGAAGACAGAGAGAAGCGAGAGAGCGGAAGGCAAAAGTTCACTGCCCCAGCGGGAGTAAAATTCACCCTTTACAACTTTACCCCAAGTTCGCGACCCGTTGCGTCTCCTAGAGACGACACGGTATCCGCTGCACATACAAATATGCACACGTTCTCTCTCTCTCTCTCTCTCTCTCCCCTCTCTCTCTCTGTCTTTTTCGATCCTCCTCGACGTTACACACGATTCTCATCTTTGTACGTAAGTAGGTAGATAAACTCGATTTCCGCCAGGGATCCCGGAGCCATGAGATATATGCAAATGCTCGCGAAGGATATATCGGGACGGTCAGTGGAAACGTCAGTACGTCAGTACCGCGACTAAGGGCACGACGCGACGCCGCGAATAAAAATTGCGGTTAGATTAACAAGGGGACGCGTCGCTTAAGTTATTCCTAGAGATAAAAGTATAAGAGATCTAACTCGCAAGTTTTACTTCCGTATACGTCTTTTAGCTTCTATCGCTCGATCTTTACGCGCATGTAAAATTCTCTGCGTTTTAATCATCCGCGTATCTGTTGTGTGTAATATGTATGTATAATCTCTGTTATGTACATACATGACTCTCTCTTGTTACATATTATTGCTATCGTCGGAGCAATATTTACCGCAATTAATTCTCGCTAATAAATATTTTAACAGCGTTCGCTCGATGTCTCTCGAAGAAAATTTCTAATAGGACTTTTGAGTAATTATTCTTAATTGCTTCTACCTATATAGAGATTAGGGTCCCTATTTGGAAAATTTAATTGTGATTCAATCGACTTGCCTATTTATTAAAAAATTGAATTCTAATTCAATCTTGCTTGCCGCGAAATTTGAAAAGATCCTCATATTTATTAACTGTGTCCAGTCTAATCGATAATGAGCAATAATAATGGTACGCCGTGTATTAATGAAGCGATGGCCCATTAATTTGAAACTACCACGAGTAGTGCTATTGTAGTGCTATTGATTACTCGAACGAGCTATTGGCGAGCCATTGTACAATTTAATTACTTACCCTAGAAGCAAAATCAAATGTATGATGAAATACATGCAGAAATTACGCTAAATGCGCTCGATAACACCAAATGCACGTGCGAGCTTTATATAATAACTCAAATTAGTGCTGTCTGCATCATAACTCTCATTCACAAATTTATCTAATTTATCATGCATTTACTTCGAGGAACAACGCTCCGCGCACAATCGGAAATTTTTTAAACTTTGAATAAATTTTAACAAATAAGGGAGTATAGGATTTTGTAAAACGCGATCGGAAACCACTATAGGTATCCAATTACTGTGTTGCGGTACTGATACGTACACTCGTCATGCGATAGTCAAATGAGAAAGCGTATCTCGCGTGCTTCGTTGGTAAAAGGGCCGGCCAATTGACTGTTAGTCAAGCTGTTAATGCGGCTGAGAAATGAGCTCGAAGCGAGGAGGGGGCGAAATATATCCGAAACTACAGCACGACAACGAGGCGGAAACATGCACCTTATCACTGCGATACGAAGACCAACGCGTTTGTATAAACGTTTAACAATTTAGCCACGGGCATACTCGATGTTAAAAAAAATAAAAAATAAAAAATTTGTACTCAGCGATTTCCTCGTCGAAGCCGGAACCAAAAAAAACTGTCCTAGTCAATAATTATGCTATGTATACATCACGACCGATTACTTACGACGAAACTGTCGATTATTCGCGTATGAGTGGACGATCGTTTGAGAATGGTAAAATCGCGTAAACGAGAAAGAGTGAGTGAGAAAGAGAAAGAGAAACGCGTGCTTTGCGTGCGTGCATTACTGTCTGTGCGTGTGCGAATGGCAACTTGTACATATGGTACCTGAAGTCGAAAAACATATTATTCCTCCAAGCACGTCAAGCCGGCCATGTTGGATCGGAGAAACCAGGTCACCGAGTGTCCCTTTTTAATCTAGACACGAGGCGCACACACAAAGTCGCGTCGATGGGTAGCTAAAAAATTTACGTGTGTCTCGATTGTAACTCTCGCGGTAGTTTTTTTTTTTGCGTTTGTTCCCTGACCTCTCTTTCAAACTCGCCGACCACGATTCCAGATGGTAGGCTTGACCAATCGTGATCATCGGGGAGCTACGAACGGGGCTAATCGCGAAGCGACTCTCTAGCGACCGTCGACCAGGGTTGACGGCGAGGATACGGTCGCTCGTAATAAAAATGTAAGCCTTTCCTACGATTTTGCACGATCAAAGTTGACGTCGTATACGTATACATATACGCCGTGCGCGTGTCGCGAATTTGGACACGATGAATTTTTTTAATTCTATACCGTAATTATTACCGCACCGTCGCCATACGATTCCGGATGGGGGTCGCAAGATATTTTTATCTCACGCGTACGCGCGCTCCGCTCTCGCATAAACTGTTTTACACCAAAATTTCATCATAGCGGAGAGCCCGGTGATTACATCGGAGCCTCGAATAAACGCATCGATTTCCCTTGTGCCACGACGATATGGTCGTTAATTTCTCTATTGCGTGGCAAATTCTATTTCTACGCGAATCGTTTAAAAAAAATAGAGATAAAAATGTGTTGGAAACGTATTTGCAAGTTACGTTTTTATTCGGAATAAAGAACAGAAATTTAATTATATTTTTTTTCCCGGGCAATATTATCTGGAGGATACGTGTAAAATTTGTGTAAAATCTCGGATCTCGTTTATTTCCATTCTATTGTTACGCGAAGGCAACACACGATACACAATCGAGAGTTAATCGAGTCGATCCCTCGCGCGGAATCCCATACGGCCGGACTTAACGATCGTTCTCGTGCGAAACGGAACGGGATCGACGAAACGCGAGTCTCGCAAAAAAACTAATATTCTATAAGGTTTCGAAAGTTACTGGTATCTAAAATAAATCCACGGCAAATCGGACGCCGTCGTTGCAAAAGCGACCGAGTCGTCATTTATTTCGGTCCTTTTCCCACATCTTGGTAAGTAGCATTAACAATTTGCAGCCTAAATTATTGACGGCCTTGCGAGTTTACAATACTTTGAAAAAGTTATAAGTCCCAATCAGTTGTAATTATAAAATATAAATCCCAAACAGTAAAAATACCAAAGTAAATTAGACACATAAATGAGATTAATTAAGCAAACATGATCAAATTTGATGACGATCTAAGTTACAATGGTATTCAGTAAAAAAAAACGAGTGTCCTTCACTGTTAAATATAAAAGGTTGTTTTAGTCACTAATCATGCTATGTATACATCACGACCGAGCTGTAATCCAATTTCTTGAGTTAAATAATATTTCGTTATTTTCAACTTCCATGTGTGTCAAAGTGTATTATTTTAACGCAGAATATGTGGTTAAAAAATATCTAATCAATCCATTTCTGTAGTTGAATTGTTTCTGAGTTGCTTCATTATTAAGTGCATTTACCAAAAATAAATTAAATTTGAATCAAATTTAATACATTTCTTGAATTAAATTGTTTAACTCTATTGTTTCTAGTCTTAGACGAATTTAATTTTCTTGGACCATAATCTTAAGAGGATTAATCTATCTTCCTCCGTAGAAGAAACAAAAAATCAACGATCACTGATCATCGACTCGATCATCGACTTCACGTGTGAATGCACGGTCATCGAACGGGAGACGGTGAGAAAGTTGGAAAAAAGAGAAGACGAGAGGGTCGTGTGTCCATAGATGAGCGGACGGCTTTTCAAGGATAATTAATTTCCCGGTCATTCTCGGAACCCTAACGAGCTCGTTAAAAAGTTTCGACACGTTTAGACCCGGATTCGACCATGGAAAAACCATTTAAGCTTCTTTCCAGCGTCGGACCTGCGGTGCTGAATGGACGACCGGGTTTCTTCGCGCATCCCCACGGCCACGTCTCGCAAGCAACTACTTTTTTCCCCGCTTTCCAATGTCTACCTCGCGCCGTTACGACCCACACCCTCTTGCACCCTCTGTCGCGACCCCTCGTCTCGCCGCCCGTTTCTTCGTCGTTCACCTCGCAGCCGTTCCCATCCACCTCGGCAGCAGCTTTCAGCTCTTTCTTGTCGTCGTTTGGCTGACATTCCGCCGCAGAAACAAGATGAAGACACGGGCGGGGGCAAGAGGGAAAAATAAAAAGGAGAGGGAAACTAGCCGCGAGTAAGGGAGCGTCGCGAACCACTACCGAGAGAGGGTCCCCGGAGGTACCAACCTGCGAGAGAGCCCACTCTCTCTTTGTTTCGCCTCCCGGCGAGATATCGGCTAAGTTTACTGTGGAAACTCGACCTATAAATTTCATCCCTTAATACGGAAGGGCCGTATAATATGAAACCGTCGAGTTATACCTCGCGGCGCCGTTTTAAGAAACGCCTGACGGCGTTACTCACTCGGGCCTGCTCGCGTTTCCCGGACGGAATTTGTTGGATTTGCAAAAAAGTTCGCGAACGATATTCCTGAGTGCTCCGCAAAGTGAGCGCGAGGCGCGGAGTAAAAAGAGGTCTTGAAGTTAAGAAAATTCTCTAGCCACATCTCCTGTATACAGAGAAAAAGAGAGAGAGAGAGAGAGAGAAAAAGAGCGAGAGGAAGGGAGGAGAAAACACGCGATGCATTATTTTACTTGCACGCTCATGCTATTACTCTTAACAGAAATAAGCTTGCGATGGCACATTCGCATTAAGGATTTGTCCTATATTCACTATAATGAATAGTTTAAGTATCTTTTCTCTCTTAAAACTCTAAACGGGAAAAAATAGTTAAAAGATTATTCGAGGATCCGAATAATTATTGCATGATGTATATAATAATTCGAATAAGATAAATGCGAATGTCTATTATTTTAAGTAATATATAAATAATTTTCTGTAAGATAACGAATAATCATTATATTCAAATATAAAATGATTAAAATAGAAACAAAATTATCCGGCTAATTATTCAAGTAAACGATAGTGCTGAATTATTGGAATTAATTCTAATTCTGCTCTTTATACAAAAGTATGTCTCAAAAATATCTGTACGTAAAAAATTGTGTTTCGAGTAAATGACTTATATATTTTCCGCTCTTACTTTGTTACAAATGCGGACTTATTAACGGAATTATTATATAGATACGATATTCGTTATACGAATAGTTTCACTGGTTAACCAATGCGCGCTCTGTCTGAAACTGTTAAGCGCGCAGAAAGCGCCTAGGGTGAACTAAGATCAGCGAGTCTCTTCCTTAGGTGGATCAAGTATATCTCTCCGAAATTTCGGACTTGGAGCGATACAAATATGGAGCCCCTGAATCTCAGCAGTGCCTCGAGGTGGCATCGTAAGATACCGGCGAACCTGTGTTCGCTCTGCGAAGCGCGGCGGTGGAATTAATGCCGCATTTGTACGGAATTTGGCCAACACTGGCTCGGAATTTGGCTTATACGATCAAGGAATCGTATCTCGTCGCGGTGGAAGTAGGTTTACGATTCGGTCAATCGTAAACCCTTGATTGCTCGGTCCTGTCGAGAGCCTTCGTCCCGCAAGGTACATAAACATCGTTGATTATCGCGAGGACAGTAAGATGTGGAGGCTAACTCGTCCGAGGCTGACAACTGTGAATATTATATCATAACGCGACCGATACAAGTGCCTTCGACTTTATCTCGTTCTCGTCTGTCGTAATATTTATATAAGTAGTTATTCGCTCTCCATGAAAGAAAAAAAAACGCATTCCGTCTTTCAAGAATTAGGAATAAAAGACTGATTGACATATAAGTCAACTCGGCTTGTGCTAGTTAGAGACATTTCGCGATATTTCATACCGAGGTAACATCGTCTAGATTAAATCGTACAGAAAGGAAGAAGTGCCCAGTATTTCAATTTATGAAACGAATTTTATGAATAGCCTCGGGTAATTTAATTTTCCAACATGACAAATTTTCGATATTAAATAAGTAATTAAATTAAATAAGCACTTCAAATTAAATTTCTGTATATTAAAAGTCGACTCGGAATTCGAGAGGAAATAAGGCCGCAAGGCACGACGAGTTTTATAAAATACTACATGTTGTGTATAGCCTGTTTAATTATTCAATCGCGACATTTGCTATTCAAACGATGAGACATAAAATATCGAACATGACGCGTGATCACGTATTCATATACGCTTGCTTTATTTTCTCGATAACTCGCGGAAAGAAGAGTCCACCCTCATAAAGCTTCATACATAAGAGAGAAACGGAACCGTAAGCCTATACATAATTTCATACATAATTTATGCCGCATATCCCATAAATAACCACGCGTGTACTTTCATCCTATACGCGGTATTTGCGTTCTTTGAGCGACGCGCGAAACGCACGCCGTGGGAAACGTTCCGCACTGCAGGGACTCACGCATACAATTCTTCCGTTTATTTACCCCCCTAAAAAAAACGTTTATCTTCAGCAACACATTTGAAAAAAATAAATTCAGTCTAGAGATATATCTTCCGCGACACGATTGACACTATATGATATATATGTGGGAAGCGTCAATTTTTCACGGTATACGAAGATAGATGTATGGACGGAACACATCTCGATCCCTTCGACGTCGCGAAATGCCCTATCTAGAATTTTCGATTCGAATTTTCTTAAAATGGTGTAGATATTTGGTGTAGATTATTTTGTGCAATACTTATCAGCGCTAATCGCATCGTATGTATGTAAAGATATTGCTACTCAAAGCAAGCTGCAACAGCCGCTTTGATACTTTTCGAGCTTTAACGTGGAAACAAATTTATCTTTTAAATTTTCGTGACTTCCCTTAATGCGAGAGTAATCCTCATTTTTCAGTATAAAAATTCGATATCTCGCGCGTGCAAATGACTGCAGCACACTGCACTGCCTTGCAATATCTTCGCGAAAGAATGGAACATTATAAGAATATAGATTGGATGTCGTGATCTGCTTACGCGTAATACTGTTTAAAATAACCGCAGCGACGCGATAATACGCCCGCGCGCCTATCATCCCTTCGAAGGCACATTTCTCTGCAGCAAATAAAGAGAAAAAAAACGGGAGAAAGAGAGGATAAGAGAGAGACGGAGATGGAGTTTCCTCTCGTTTCTCAGCTCACGTTCTCGGGCTTTGCGCGTCGCTCACCTCGGAAAATAGCTTCCCTTTACTTATTCTTCTCTTTTCCGCTTTATCGACTATACGTCTATCGCGATCTCCTTAATAAGACAAACCTATCGATGGATTGATGAATTGACAATATCATCGTTTTTTCAAATTTACGAATTTATCGCGAATTTGGAGTCAGTTCTGTTTTGAAAAATGTCGAGGGAATTTATTATTTAGCATAAATATCTAGTGTTACATATTTTTACACACAACTAGACCTCAATTCTGTTAAAATATAAACTTTACTGTAAATTAACGAAAGGATTAAAAAAAAAGTTTTTTAGACATCTTAGCTTTTAGACGTCTAAGTTAGCGGAGCAAAATGAGCAGAATCAATTCTAACTAATATATTTATTTGTTGTTAAAAAGTTACATTAGAATTGATTCTGTAATTTGTTCTGCTAACTTAAAACGTACCTTTTAGATAGATAGGAAATCTGTCTGAAGTTCAGCTCTCCAAAAATTCTTTTTCCCAATGGCGCTTTAGAAGCTAGGAGCTGGTGGTTCGCTATTTCACCGACAGAAATTCTAAATCAATTCTCTAAATTAATCAGAGAATCAAGATTGAAGCCTTGAAGATTGTACAGAACACGCTGAAAACGTAAAGTGCAACGAACCATCTCGTGGCTCATTATCACGTTGCACCCTTCGAGCAAAAGGTAGGTATTGACCGAAAACATTTTCGAACTATCGGAATAAATTCCGAACGTAGCGCGAGAATCCCGAGGTCGAGAGAGAGAGAGAGAGAGAGAGAGAGAGAGAGAGAGAGAGACCGCAAGTACTTTCCCGCTGGGGGATAGCCATATTTTTTCTCCTTATTTCCTGCACGTCCCCAAACGTGGCCGCTATTTTTTCACGCCGCAACGCAACTTTATGAACTCTGCGCCCGACACGTCCGTCCATCTGTCCGTCCGTCCGTCCAGCAAGAACACGCGTTTTCCGCGGTCAACGAAATTGAATGTCCGCAGTTTATGACGCACGGAATTGCGTATAATCGTAAACTGCCGGGTGTGAGAGATAGGCATACACGTGCATGGGCGCAACGCTCTTTACGATTTATGCAAGTGCCGTTAAATGCACCTCGCGTCTGAACATCTACGTCGTGAGATCAACGTCGCGAATGACGCGGAAAAATATTAGGTAATTATGCGTGCGACGCGACTTTATGCCCTTTTAACTCTATGTAACGCGGAATATTACAGATAACATGTACAAATGTGTGTGTGACTTAGTTATTTAATACATACTCAGGCGCACACACACACCACACACACACAGCGTGTAAAATATATCATCTCCGGACACTGTCACAACTAAGGCCATCGTGCCAGGAAGTACATTATGGTACCTACTATGCAGCAAGCTTAATAACAATGCGAGGCACTCGGTTCTTTGCTCGGTACTTTAGTACAATTTGATATTTACGGGGCAATATTTCAACTTTACACTCCGCCTAACACGTTGATTTATTGCGACCATGGCGAGAAAAACGACCAAGTTTTCCTCCCCCTCTCTCTCTCTCTCTCTCTTTTCCACTTCCGCTTTATAAACTGGCAAGATTTTCCTAGCGTTTCGCGCGTGAGGGACGTAGGGAGATCGATATTTCTTTCTTAATAGGAGAGCAAAGTCCGATTCCGCGTGCATTGTGGCGAGACGGTGATTTATGGGGCGACGTGATATTTGGCTAAAAATTTTGTTCGTGCTGCGTGTACGAATTTAATCTTCGCGCATTTTCACGCCACCTGCCATGCCATTTCGCTCGTATCAATGGCAGTTTTCGAAAAACGAGCTCGTGCAAAAATCACTACCAGGGAACATTTCCAATAATAGCGAATATCACAAAGTTAAACATCTGAATAAACCGATCTGACCGATCTCTCCGCGAGCTCACCGAGCGAGCAAAAAATCGGTAATTCGTTCGGGGAACGAAAAATAGAAAATATCATTAAATCAGTACAGGGATTACGCTCTTATATGCGCCACGTGTATTCGTGGCCGTTTTCAGTTCAATCGATGCCCAACGTTTGTAACGTCGTTATCGTCGCAATTATTACTACTATGGCGACATTAAGCTCGCTCGTTACCGCTCGAGTTGATTAAAAGCTTCGCGAGCCAAATTGCGAAACAAAATTCGTTTTAAATTTCCGAATGTAATCGCGATAACGGCGATATCGGATTCATCCGTTTTTTTTCTCCCTTCTTTTCGACGGACCGTCGAACGAGCGCGGGAGATGATATCATCCGCGAACGTATCGCAATCTACGTAAACGGGAGCGGAGATTTCGTGGCCCGCGATATATTCCACGTCAAAATATGCAAATTCCCGTTTCGCAAAACCGCGATAACGCAGCGGTCCAATACGCCCTTTCGAAATCACGCCGGCGGATACGCAAATTCTTTCGGCGCAAATGTTTTTCAAGTAATTCGAAAGAATTACGATGTTAAATTTCTCACGTGATGGAAAGTCAGAGGAAGGCGAAGGGGACGGTGAAACGTCAACAGACTTGTTTTTCATCGAAAAATATTGGTTTTATTCGACTATCAGACTCTTCCGTACACATATATGAATCAACTTTTTGCAGTGGCGTTTTATAATTTCTACAAAACGATGAATTCTCTTAGTGGGGTATATAAGAATATATACCGCGTGTCAGTAAAGTTCAAAACGAATCGATAAACAGTCAACGAGGAGATCCCGCAACGACGCCCTTTCAAACAGACAATACTGAATATAGACTTTGATATACAACGACCGTTTTCGGCCCTTCAGAGACGCGTAATAACAGTAATATATCTATACAATTACTTTCTTACATCGCAACGATCGTGTGAGGGAGGTACACATTCCAAGCGTGAGGCCGTAGACAAACCGACCGACGTCCTTAATCAACGAGAATAAAAATATATGTGTCAACGTAACGAGAGTCGCGATAACAAAATGTACGTATAAAAAAACAGAAGGTAACACGATGAGGTAACGAGGTAAATCGGGGATAACGATCCCGCCGTTTCGCGGGGAGAAAAACAGAATAGGGAGAAATTTCACTATTCGCATAAGAAGCGTATGCTCTCGAAAAAAGGAAGTTCCACTCTTCGCGGTTTCGTTCAATGGATCAATCGCAGTATAGAAGAGTATCCGGACATAAAAGAGAAAATTTCAGATTTGCCAGCCAATTATTCCCTATTGCCTCGAAGAACAGTAAAAGAGAAAGGGAGATAAGACGGAAAGAAAGCTCGACTACCAGGGGGAGGGAAGGAGGGGGTTTTCGATCGGAGGAACAAGATAAATGGAACGACTCGATCCACGTGACTTCCTTATTCCTCGCCTCCTTGGCCGCTTAGTTGCTGCTGGGCTGTTCCCGCTTCAGCGAGCCGAGTTCTTCCAGCATCGCCTGAAGTCCTTCGGGGACTCGTCCGGCGTCGAATTCCAGAGTCCACTGACGATACTGCAGAAAAATAACAAACGGTTGTGTGTGTGTAAGTTTCCGTCTCTCGGTCTCGGTCTTGTTCGTACTACAATAAAATCCCGTAGTGCCGCCAGAGATCTTCGGCGGAATCAGAAGGATTTGGGAACAGCCTCGTGGATACGCAGGAACGCCGGACTCTTGTCGGGATTTTTCAACTGCTCCTCTTACTCGCTCGGCGGATTAATCGAACCTCGTATATCGATTAATCCGCCGACTCATTGATATCGAATATTTTCAGGACACGTCGTTAACAAGCAATCCGTACAAAGACAAGAAAAGCAAATGCAACCAATCAATAATCAATAAACAAATAATTTATTTCAGAGCTTTTCATAAGCACCTTTGTTCTCTACCTAACGAATTTCATTCAGATTTATTGCTACAGAGCAATATGACAATCGAACAAAGAGAATGCTAATTTTTATATAAAATCACGGAAATTATTTGTACAAATTATTTTCTAAAAGAATAGAGATCCGCAAGAATAAATATTCACTGCCGAACGACCGCGCGAAGTACTCGAATAATTCTAACAAATACGAGTGCTTTTCTGCGAAAGGACAAAACAAAGCAATGAAGATGCGAATAATACTTTTAGTCCGTATTGCTAAAGAGCGAACCTTTGTATTCCGCCAGAACTTTACACTTTTGCGAGTAACAACGCTAACTTAGTTTGCACTTCGAGAGAAGGTTTAAGGAAGACGATAAGGAAGACGATGAGAGAGGTGAGGAAAAGAAAAAGTTACCGAGGTTCTCCAGCTTCCGAAGAATTTGCTTTGCTTTATGTTCAAGATACAACTAATTCGAGGAACTTTAAAGCATATCTTTTTTCTCGAAAAAAAAAAATAATAGATCTTTCTTATGTATTATAAACTTTGTTTCTATTTTATTCGATTAGTATTAGATATACTACTATCTAGTAGCATAAATAGAATTCAATCAAAATTTGATGTAAATTTTTATATATAGGTATTTAATTTTCTCATAATTATAAACGATAATTTATATATCCTTTTATACTTCAGTTTTAGAAAGTGCTGCAGAGTGCTGTTCCTTATAAAGTGTAAAGATTGCTATTGTTAATAAAAATTATATAATAATTCTCTAACTATAAGCTATTAAAACTCATAAACTTTTCGCGAATTAAAAACGTGAGAACAAATATTGGAACATTGTCCATCGTTTATTTTTAAATGCATCTTAATTCGATAAAATACATTTGTATTTAAGAAAGTTAGTTACCAAGACAGAAATATCGAAAGTGAAAATGTTAATTTCCCTTCGATACTTTCACTAAAGGAAGAATAGCATTCAAGTTTTACAAGGTATAGCGTCGCAACTTCACTTTCCGCTAATTATAGAATGGTCTGTCTAACAAAATTTATTAATACAAGCCGCAATTCATTCGCGAGTACTTGTCTTGTCGTTGCAAGCACGCGACTTGTTCGCCGCAATAAACGCGATCGTTCATTTCTAAAGGAGAAAATCTTGGCTTCTCTCCTCGGAAAGAGCCCTCCATTCTCGTTCGCTCTCGCTTTATGAAAGGGTTAAGAATATGACTCACCATCTCGAGCTCCTTCCGCAGAGCAAGCACCGCCTTTTCTCGGTCGGCCACGAGCTCCTCCAGGTACTGATACCTCAGCTTCTTGCGAGCACGGCACTCCCTCGCACTCTGCCGGCTTCGTTCTGCAACAGAATAGCAAACGAATGAAGAGGGTGAGAAAAGGCGGATCCATATTAATACAGGAGGAATCGATCCATGCAAAGCGTGGTCGCTCCCGTCCGATCCCCGGGAACTGAAGTTCAGTCGGCGCCCGAATTCGCACAGAGCATAAATTTCGCCCCCGCGGTTCTCGGGCGTCAGGTTGTGACGTAACGGCCCAGCCGAGTGGCAGATATATATCGCGAGCTCTACAAGAATTCACGATTTAATAATGTCGCCGAACGCGCAAGACGCATGGTAATGCCGCGGCATATGCGACCGAAAAGCGGAAACTTTTACGAAGACGGACGGTGTGTTACGGGTAAAGCTATGATTTTGTTCGAACGCAAGGAGAAACGTATAGGGGGAGGGGAAAATAAACGTGTCGCATGTCGGATGCCGGGAAAGAGCTGGGTCGAAGGCACGACGAAATGCGAAACCGATTTAAATAACGACGTCGTTGCAATCTGAAATCTCTAATATTCAAATCCTCGAATTCTGTATACGGTTCTAGAATCTTATCAGATCGTCGGTTTCCCCGTGCGTTTTATATTCCAAAATTCTCTCGAACGTCGCGATTCCTGAATTCCGAAAGTTTCCCCGAGATTCTTGCATTCTAAGGCCCGTATTTTTATTTCTTTACAGTCACGTTTCTGCAGCTGAAGAGCCCCGCCGAAATCCCGAAGTCTTTGCGCGACGCGACACGATTTAATAAATGGATAGAAAATTGATTTAATTAATAACACTCTATATCTATAGTCAGTGAAATATAAAAAATAATACAGCAGGTTAATGTACATAAATGTTTTAAAGGTAATAAATTAGATTTTAATCTTCAAACCAACGTTATATTTAATGAGCTATAATAGCTTTCAATGATTGAAATTTATCCGAGGTACAGAGGCGGAATATTCGGCACACGTTTATTGAGTTTATTTCATAACGCATTGTAAAATATTTCGCAATGGTTGATGAATCGGCTATTTTTGAACATCGTACAACCAGAACGCTGAAACGCTCTACCCTGCTCTACCCCCGCGCGGGGATTGGACTCGGTTAAACACGCAGCGGCGCGAGCCGCGTGACGACGCATTACCTCTCGAGATGTAAGCGCGATAAGTAGCCCAAATGCGCGGTTGTTAGCTTATACGACGAGCACCACAGTGATTATCGAATCGCGTGGTGACTCTCTCGTGTTTAACAATTTGTAGATACATCAAGACAACGATCACTCAGCGAAATGATCACTCACACGAATATAATTTGACTAACGTTCACTCTAATTGATATAAACGCGAAGAGCACACAAATCGCTGGATTTACTGATGTGAGAATGCGAAGTATTGATTTTTTTTTTTAATACATTGTGCGTTCTGCGAACGCTAACGTGTTCGAAACGAATGGCGCATGCGATATTAAATCTCAATCGCGGATGCGGGTGTGAGGAAGATAGCTTCTGCGATCCTTTCTACGATTATCCTTTCATCGGAATGTAATAAATTGCATGTCGCGTGCGATTAATGTCGGCCGTGCCGCGCGAAGTGTCGCGCGACCGTTGTATTCTCACGATTATCTGCGCGCGCGATTTAATCGTAATTAATCGTGCTTTCGTAAGTGCTGTGTTGTGCAAATGCAACGAAAAGGAACAAGAGGCCTAGAAGACGCATCGAGCAAGCGACCACAAGGTAACTTACCTAAATGATTAAAACAAGAATTAAGAGAAAAACTGTCAGTCATAAATACTTAAAAGAATTATTCTTTCCAATGTGATATATAATTACGTCAAAATATCTATTTGAAAAGCAACGAATTCAATGCGCGCAATAATAAAAAAAAAACAATTATTTTAAATGCTGTAATAATTTCAATTATATTTTTATATTTTGCAGATCAACGTAGATGCAATGTAATTATGAACTCCGCCGCTACTGATAAATGAGAATTAAATTTTTTAATGTGAAATAATGTGTAAAAATTGGATCGTAATACGATTTTTATATGTAATAACATCAAGCTACTATTCAGAATAATAAAATAATAATAATGATATTCAGACAAATACAAGCACAAATCCATCATAAATTCATTGCTTTAAGATTTTGATGGCTAAAATAAATTAAAATTAATAAATATTAAATTCTGGAATACAATTTTATTCAATTTATTATGCCTAGTAGAATGCGCACGTACACGAGCTAGTAAAAAAAAAGTTTGATATGTTGTTTATTGGCACATTTTAATCTTTTATTACGTGACTAAACATTGATTATACAAGATTACAAGATACATTAATTGTTTGATATTTATTCAACAAATTCATAAATATTTGCCAAGCATACACATGCAGGCAAAATTTTCGGGAAATACAAATAAAAATATTATGACAATAATTAATATTAATAATACATTGATATTAATTTAGGCGATATTTTTTGTCAAAATAAATGTTGAATAAACTTTTGAATTTATTATTTATGTACATAAATAATGAAAAAGAAAAATAAGAAGGCAATAAAATAAAATTTTTTATTTTCTGCTTCTTTTTCTGTGCTAACTTTAATTGTAAGCTAGCACAGCCATTGTTTTATGCGAATAAACTGGAGCAAAAAAAAATCGATATTATACAACGATTAATTAGCAAATTTATAGCAATTCATTCTAAGTACACAAATGATTTCTAATCAAAATAAATTATCGAATTGTCATAAGATATCTATAAAACTTTATTATGAATTCCTTGCTCTTTCTCTTTTTCTTTGTTTTAAGATTTAAGACGCGGTCTAAGATTACAAATACGAGGTTGAAATTCTCACAAGCACGAAATTCTGACTACTGAGATTTGTAGCTTCGATTTGTAGGTTCGAAGATTCTTTGATTGCGAGTTAAAGAACTGCTATAGATTTCCGAGAGTTTTCGTGTTATCAGATTGTTAAGTAGTTTCACAAATGGCGAATTCCTTTCTTCCGTGGACATCCAGGAATAATAAACGTCTTTTACGACGGAGGTTCGCAAACGCGTTATCGTTCATGGCTCGCCAGACTCGCCTTTTACGCGGCAATAAACGTCACTCGTCTCATTGCGGACCTTTAAGGGTGACCAGAGCCGCCACTGGTGAATTTTCGCAGTGAAGCGCTCGATCGGAGACCAGGCGCCGTAAATTTTATCGGAAAGAGATTCGTCGATGTCGATTGGAACTGACGCGCGATCGGCGTCGCGCCTCGGAGATCGATACCGGTGCGCCGCGGAAAATTAAGCGTTCTCGCACAGTCAATTTGTGGCTCCATTTAGGATCTCATTGCGACGGCCGACATCTGGACCGAATCGAGGCAAAACCCGAGTGAATTTAAATAAAGCCGGTTCCGTAAACCGTAACGGAGGAAAATGTAGAGTTCGTTCATTCGTTCGTTCGCGCGGCCAAGTACGACGCCGGGGAAAGACTCATGCACAATTTCCGTCGATATGCAGGTCGTCACGAATCCACAGGACATCTTTTTAACGACAGATAGGAGACAAGCTGAAGAAAATACGATTGTTTTTACCCTTTAAATAGATTGCAATTGCTAAATCGACCATTGCGATAGAGGATCCGACAAAAACAGTGAATAGATAGCTGAAAATTCAATTTGTCAGAGTGAGAATAACAACTTTTTAATGAGAAAATAAATTCACATAAAACTCTAAAAGTCAATCTGTTATAAATAATTAATAAAGCGAAAAATCAATATTTGCGATAAAATGGAAAGTTTCGGTTTTAAAACAATCAAAAGTAGTTTTGCAAAACAAAAATGTTCTGCAATACATTGCTGTTCTGTAAATATTATTTAATCTTCAGTTTGCGTGAAACTTAAATGATAATCAGCCGCAAAGTTTTCGCTTCGCTGTAACACCAACTGCGAATTGTCTATAACCAAGAAGAGCATCGGGTGAGAGATACTGCATGTGCTCGAACGGCGTGTGCGTCCCGGAAAGGAGGCCGCATCGCGGTCGGGAAGGAACCCCGTTCGGTGGCGAAGGCGGAAGAAAGGGGAGAGAACGAAATAGCGCGCGCTAGGCGATTATAAAGTTTCCCCGTTCCCGAATGAGAGGACCACGCGCGCGCGTTCCAGAAATAACCCCGCGAAATTACTCGGCTGCTGCTGCTACTGCTGGTCCATGCAGAGCAGCCACGGCGCGGCATCAGCGCGGCGAGTTAGTTTCCCTTCCCCTCTCCGTCTATCCTCTCGGCCTCTCTCTTCCCGCTTTTGTTACCTCCGAGGAGCTTCGCGGCGGCGAAATGGCGGAATTGCAAAATAGCCGAACGATAACCGTACGGTAAGAGCGTGGCCGGTAATCCTCCCGCCCGTCGTACGCCGGGGGTATCGAGAAACCGCTGCGGGTATAAATATTCATTCGCGAAAGAGATAAACGTTTCTATTCGACGATTCGCACCATTTCGCGCAATCCTTACAGCGTGAACGAACGTGAATGCCCTCCTTGCGGAAAAGACGCGCTATTACCGCGTCTATCAAATCGTTTTAATCAAGAGATGCGCTGGACGTCGACACGCCAACGAGTATGCGCGTAAAGTCGGAGCGCGGCGAATGGCCGATATCTGCTAGGCCACGTCCGTTTCATTGTCTCGTACAACGCGTTATCGTTCTGTTTTACGCGAGTTTTCGCACCTCGGATTAAAGGGGCGAGGTTGACGAGTTGAGACGTCGGATAGATAAAGTCAGGCCAGTGGACGGTATCTGCTAGCGTTATTATTCCTTTGATCATCGATTTTTCACGCGTATATTTGCCTCTCAGATTTGCGAACTAACATAGAGAAAAAAGTCTGGTAATGGCTACGAAATATTTGTAAATATTTGTATATCAATATTTTGTTTAGCGTATTGGTGTAATATTTAGTAAATATTATCAAACATATAATAATAGTAACCAACCGTTTGATAATAATTACTACATATTAATATTTACAAAAGCAAAATTAGCATTTAGATGATTTTAATACTAATCGAACATTTGCTTGAAATTATTTCACCAAAGCTTCATCTAGATTATTATAATTAGACTTTTCCCAGTGCAGTTTTACCAAAAATGTAATAACGCATTTTTATATAATAATAATTTCCAGTTATAATGAATCAACATAAAATCGATCAGTTCTCGCCGTATAATTTATTACATTGCCTGCACAACAAATTAAAGTATCGAGCAACAGAGATGGGCAAAATGTAATCGAATCAATAATTGACCGCGGTCGTATTTTAAGTAATCAATGACCTATAATTTACAATAAAATATTAATCAATATTCGATTATCATTGAATAATAAATAATAAAAATAATCATCGATCGCAGTTAAATTATCAGTTGCAGTTTGCGCAAAACAATTATATTTTTTATTACGATTTTGATTGAATAAATTAACATACGTTATATTACAGCGATTCTAATAACTTCGCGATAACTCCGTTTCATTTTATGATTATTAGATGGTGATTAATGAGCAATGATGGCAGACCGTCGATGTAATTCATATCTATGCATTATTTAATGGTTTTTAATTACTTAATTACTGATACCAAATTATTTCACTAATCCAATTGGAAAAACAATCAATTGCATTGCCGCGCAATTTCGTTGCAGTGCTTATCACATAACGAAACAATTTTAATTCTAATCGCAGCCAAGATAAACAATTTATCGCCGATAAAATCGTGTCGTTACAAGCGATAACGGCGCGGCGAAGTGAAATGTTGAAGCAGGTGTCTAGGATGTCAACAAGTATCCTTCACGTAGCTACTTACCGAGCTTAGCTTTCATGTCCGCCTTGTCCGCCGCCTTCCTTCCAGGCTTGCGTCCCCTCTTGCCCCCCTCTTTCCGATCACCGCGAGATCCCTCCTGAAAAAAAAACCGCGATTAGTTGCGGAAAAATTTCGTCATATCGTAAATATTAATGAGTTATGAATTAAATCGACATATCGTACGCTTTCTGACACGATCGAGCTATCGTGCGTCGAAATACGAGATCAGCCACTCGTTAAAAGCAATTCATTTTGCAGCCGCGGCTTCGCCGCTGATCGGCTTTTACCTGACTGCGCGGAGAGAGAGAGAGAGAGGAGAGAGAGGGAGAGGAAGAGGGGGAGAGAGAGAGAGACTAGTGAATAATTCTACCGGGAATTGTTCATGATTAATGATCGCACCACAGGTATATTTGCGCGAGGGAGCAACGCGCGACGGTGACAAATCTTGCGCGAGAAGCCGAGATGGCATTAAAAATTGACGGCGCTACAAAACGCGCGGCTGGATTATTACGCGGCCTACCGAAACGAAATCGCGAGCGAGCGAGCGAACGCGCGCGCGCGCGCACCGCGTCGTGAATAATTCGCCGCCAGGGTAATTTACGATTCAATCGGGCCCGCGGTCTCACGTACGCGCGCACACGCGACCGCCATAATACCGCTTGATCCGCGCGCCGGAGTTTCGCCCCGATTAATATCTTGAGCGAGACACGGCGGTGTCGCTTTCAATGGAAACAAAAGCTCATTGTGTCGCCGGAGGAGAAGGACCGAGAGCCCGGCGGGAGAGTCCGCACCGGTGAAAAGCTCGGGGATGAAATCGTCTCCGCCGCCCGCGAAGATCCTCCCTCCCGATCGTAAACGCGAAATGAGCAATCACCGTATCTCGAGTCTACGAGGGGGGAGGGGGAGGGTATTCCCTTTTTTTCTTCGCGGCCACAAAAGTGCAATGAGCGTTATTCAATATCCGCGAATGCGCGACCAAACGGATGCCTAACAAATGGCCGCCTCGCCGGCGACACAGTTAACTCAGAGTTACGAGCTTTATGGCCGTAATCCAGTCCGTCAGATGAAATCGAGCGGAAAATGACGAGACACGAACAAGATAGTCGCATTAATTCGCTTCTCTTATTTCTCCCTTCCTCCTCGCATTATATAGTACAAGTCTTCAGTTTAATTTTAGTTTCAAGATTTGGAAAAGTCCAGGTTTAATCTAAAAATCGTTATTTTAATATCTGCTTATTTCAACATTTTTTTTTTTTTAACGTGCTAAATAATTTTGAAATTGACGTGACACATAGCAGACATGTTTGTCCCTTGTGAAATTTGGGGGGGAATTGATTTCTATAATTACTAAACTTATTCTTAATATATTTGAGTGTTTTCTTGCACGCGGCAAATTGGGGCTAAAATAATGTACTTATTTATTAATTGAAAATGTGTTACTTAAAATTATTTGCAAGCCGTAATCTTTGATGGTTCTCTATAAACTCGCGCGCTTCTTGGCGCTTCATATACATCATCACGAGACAAGCCACACAGTATCGCCCGGTCGTTTCCTACCCCGTGGTTCCCAGAGAGATATTATTTATGCAAAGTATACGTTTGTCGTGCATACAAACTGCCCCAAGTCAAACGAACGAGCGGCGCGCATACATTTTCGCGAATTGCATTTTCGCGCAAGGTTCTCATTTCGTTTCGCGACGAAAAAACCTGGGCGACTCTCCTCCCATGAACAAAAACGATTTCAACGTGGAATAATTACCTGGAGGAACAATTTCGCAGACTTGGGAGATACACGGTGGACGCGGACACGCGGACGCGACACGCGCCAGATAGAGAACGCGCGCTCACCATCTTGCCGACGAGCCGTTAAAATTTACACGCCCCACGGGCACGGGTTGTTGCATACCGCCGCGGCCTTTAGGTATGCATACGCGCTCAGGGGTGACAAAATACGAATTCCGCGTCCCCTTTTAGGACCGCTGTTTACCGCTCTACGACCCGTCCGCAACCTCTCAATCTTATCTGGTATTAAATCTCCCCGAATCCCGTTTCTTTCCCACTTCCCCCCCCTGAGCATTTCCGATCTTTTTTTTTAACCGGACTTAACTACCCTCTTCGTCGGTCACCGAACTCTCCTTTTCTTCGATCCACACGACCCCTTTTTTCCTCCACGTCATTGTGTGAGATAATTAGAATTGATTTCCGCATACAAAAAAAAATATAAATACGTCATAACTACGAAATCTCGTGCGGAGAATTACACAACAGTCTGTAAATCGAGAACACAGCGTACACAAATAGAGAATTGTTCGCGGTTGCATATTGTAATGTATTGCAGTTACACTGACTGATATGGACGTAAACATCTCGTTAACAAATACAATATCTCTTAGGTAATACTAACCCAGGAATATGCAGTTCCTGCTATATATTTTTTCGATACAGTCAGCTTTTTCCAGTAGAAATTTATATCCTAATTAAATAATGAACTTGAGATTTCCTCAGAATTTCCAGCGGAACAATTTAACTTTTAGAAATGTAAGCAGATTATTTTTCGATTAGTTTCAATCAAACCTGACTGTTTAAACAGAAATATAATAAATTGAATAATCGTAAATAAATGGTAGAACAATTTACAATATTGGCTTTCAAAAAATGTTCAACTAAACGAATAAAAGATAGTGCAATTCATTCCGAGACACTTCATGTTTGATGAAAAACACTTACATGTGTTCAAATTGTTTCGCTTCTCTTAATCATTTCAATGAATAGAATTTTTAAAAGTCACAAGAGAAAGCTTGGGAAAACGCGGCTCATGCAAACTGTCGCTAGGCAGAAATAAAGCATGTCTTGCCATTAGTTTATCTATGACGAACATTTTCTTCAAAGAATCGCGAATGACGGAAGACATGAAATAAACATTCAGTAAAGAGTCCCCTGCACTAAATATTTTCTTTCACTAAATATCAATACTTGAAGACAGGAGAGTATTGAAACACGGCGACTCTTTAGATGCACATTACTTAAAACAACCTCAATAAAGATGGCAAGTTCGTGCACGGAGAGAATTTCCTTTTAAAATTTACCCTGAAAATTTCTTAATCGTGGGATTACAACATAGTATTTTGACAAATTTTACTGTACACTACAATAAATTTTACTGTGCACTACAATAAATTTGTTGTAGTACATATTTTAAAAAATAGTGAAAATCATATAAAATTCGTCGAAATACTATGTTGTCCTACGATTAACATGATTTTCAGAGTAAATTTTAAAATAAAATTCTCTCCGTGATGTGAATACGTTATGTGTGTGAATGAAGTTACGAGCGACATTATTACGAGGCATCACACGTCATTGAGAGCGTATAACGTCTTTAACACGCGAGCGAAAGTAAGTTCAGAATTAGTGTAATAAATCGATGAATGTGTCGCCGCGATATCACAACGTGAAATCACCGTCATAGAACACGGACGATCCGCGGCTGTAAATCCTTCCGGAATCTGTCAGACGTTCCGCTGACATTGACATTTCCGTCTACCTCCTTGTTTCCATCCGTGTCGCGCACCCGCACATTTCCCAACCGCAGACGCGCCCCACGAGTGCGCACTGCAGACTCTAAGATAATTCCGATTCCTTCTCCTGCACACGACAACCCATTGACGACGGCCTGATCGACGTATATCCGATCAACGGAGAAACAATCCGTCCGTTTCCGGACTCGGCAATTGCCATTTACAATTCCCGAACGCGGAAGGTAAGGTGCATGCGCGCGCATAATACAACAGTAAACAGGATATCAAACAGACTATTACATCGAAAAATTTCCATAAAGTATATTCCGACAGTTATCGACGCACCTTTAATTACGTCTTTCGTTCATCCCAATCATATATAGTTATACAATGTCTTTTCACATCCTTCATGATGTGAAGGGTTTGAAAATGAGAATGATGGAATATTAAATACAAATTAATATTAAAATCTCCAAAATGCGCATCCTTAGCAAAACAGAATACATCATTCTCTGTTTTTAAATAACAGATTCAGAATTGTTTCATTGAAAACCAATTTTACTGAATTATTTAAATTTACTATAATATATCTGTACTTCAAGTAACAATCTATATGAAATCTATGCCATAGGACATCGCATTTCATTGATATATATACTGTAAGATAGAAAAATATGAAACAAATTTCGCAGGTATACTCTTCCCGTTCATGTGAGCGAACGAACAAACTCACGCGTTCTAGTACCGAGAGCTAATACCATTTTCATGGCGCTTGCGATTTTAACGGTCGTCACAACTATCGGAGGTGAAACGTAAGGTCGTCGTCGCGCGAATGTAAAATTTTACGGTATTTTTCACCAACGTTCTTTTCTCGTCGTTATCAGCAAAAACATGGGAGGCAATGTTTCTCGTTTAAAAAGTAATTTCAGTTATCTGAAACTCGATTACTTGATGCCGTTACAGAAAATTGGACACGGTCCTACCGCCGGAGTGCGAGTTTCCGTAAAGGCAATATCCTCCGTTTTAATTTTTCTAATTTGCATTTGCATAGGAAAAAAATCTGTTAACGCATTATCGACGTCCTTCGATTTTTTTTTTTTCAAGAATATTAAAAAACTGGCAGTCCCTTCTACATGCACGCAAAATCTCTCTCGCCGCAGAAGCATCATGCGAAAATGTATACAATGTCTGCCAATATTCTCTCAATAGATAATCTCAAGATTACATAATAAAATATTTTGTTTTTTAAGGAAATACATATATACTCTCTCTTGCCGTAATGACAAAAAGATGGAGGCGATAGCCCACTTTATAATTTTGCACTGTAAGCCCTTCTACATACAACGCTTTCACGCCACTTCCAGACGTATAGCGCGCGTGCTTTTTTCTGCGGAAGCTAAACCGTCTAGAAAAAACGTATTTGCCCTAAAAGCAGCGATGTAAAATGTCATTATCTTTTATGGATACATTTTCTGCACTCGTATCGGTCACACGCTCCCAACGTGTATAAAAAAATAGATTTTTTTATCACTTAAAAGGACTAAAAGGAATTACTAAAAGCAAGCACCGTGCAAAAAAT